GCGTGTCTAAGCACACGTCCACGAGTTGCCCTCTCCTCACGTGCTCCTCCTTTGCGGCAACATTTGAAAAGACTAACCGTCCGGCCGGAAGACCATAACTGGCAGCAGAGGCCACGATATTGGTCTCACCGACAGTTGGGAACCTTAACAGCCATAACACACTGTTTGGCACCCGTTTTAGGATCTGCACAGAGATTACAGATGTTATCAAATCATTTACATAACTGTTCGTAGAGTGAACTCACATTAACCCAAGTCGTAAGTGTTTGCGGATCTATTTTGTAGAGTTGATTGAAATTGCAAAACACAATCGCGTCTTCAGGCAAACCGTACTGCTGTCGAGTAGTCACTACTATAGCTTTGGGCGCCTCCTCTCCTACAAGAGGTAAGTAAATCATGAGTTTTAATGTACTGCACGTAAACAAGTGGCAAATGTCATACCAGTGGCCGCTTTGTTATTCATTTGAGTGGTCGCGAGTCCATTCTGGACCACAATTCCATTGACTGATGTCTGGACGTGTCCATTGGTGATCATCGCCTGCACGGGTTGTGTTGTGGGCAACTCAACGATTGTCTTCACGACTTCCACTTTCTCTGTAGAGATCACGGGATGGATCGCAGTCAAAGAAGTGGCGATTGTGGTCATGACAGCCACCTCTCGAATCGTTTTAATCTCCACTTTCTCTATAATGGGCGACAAATCAGTCGCGTTTACGATCGACACGTTGTCGGGAGGATCTGCCGTCTCGGGTGAGGCCAACACTTGAGCCGATTTCTTGGCGTCCAATAGAATGACTCGTTCGATGAGATGTGGAAACATCTGTCTGTGATCACCGACGAAGAATGTGTTCGGCATATACGCCAACTTCTCTGAATACTGGTCGGCCAACTCGATGGGCGACGTCACGGCATCCGTGATTATGTAGTCCATAAAGGGTGCGCCACTGGTTCCGGGATATCCCAACCACATGGCCTGAATGGGCGCCGGTCTCAGAGCAAAGATCTCATTGCGGGCGCCTTTGGTATAGCCGTTCATATTAATGAGAATATGAATTCCATCGGCATGTATACGATCGGCCGCTTTGCCATTGCAGGCGACGGACGACAGGTCCACAAAGTTCTCCGACTCTGAGCTCACTTTAGTCCTGAAAGTGGTTCCGTCGTCGGCTGACAGGGCGTAACAAAAGA